AAGAAGAAGAAGAAGAAGAAGAAGAAGAAGAAGAAGAAGAAGAAGAAGAAGAAGAAGAAGAAGAAGAAGAAGAAGAAGAAGAAGAAGAAGAAGAAAAGCAATCAATCAAGCAAAAAAAAGCCAGATGGAAACTTCATGAAAGACACATAGAAAGAAACAAAGAGAGACATAGAAAGCAAGAATGAGACATGCAAAGAAGAAACAAAAAGTTAGTTCTTGGGAAAGAAAGCAACAAACGACCTGTTTTTTTTGGGCAAGAGAGAGACCAACAAACGAAATCAAAAACATGTTTTTGATTATAAGTTGAGCGTGCATGACATGTTGTCTTATCCCTTTATGATGGTGACGATATAGCGCAACTTCTGCGCAAGTATACACCCTGGCCCAACTAGAACTCGCAATTTGAAACTAGCCCTTGTAATTTGAAGTGTGAAGTTGTGAACTACTAATTTCGTATTCGTTTTTCGGCGTTTCACAATGCTGAGCATCCTTCTTCCTTCCTTCCTTCCTTCCTTTCTTTCTTTCTTTCTTTTTTGTGCGCATAATCCTGAATATCTTACTCCCTTCTTTTGTGTACAAAGAAAAATGATTATCATTCTTTTTTTTTTTTGCTTTCCCCTTTAAACTTAAAAAAAAAAGAAAACTGCAGTATATTACTATATTATAATATTAGTATATTGAACTATATTCTTCTCTGAAATTATTTTTGCCTTTTTTTTTCTTCCCCTTTCTTTGCCTGTGTGATTTCACAGACTATTTAATATTTATAGAGTACCATTTTTTTCATTATTTTTTTTTTTCATACCATTCTCACCGCCCGTTCCTCCGTGAACTTGCCGATTCCTTGTTTGCCAATCAGGTGCTCCATGAGGTCTCCTCTGGCACACAGCTCCTGGACCAGGAACACATTTTTTGTGTCCTCAAATGCACCATACAGCTCACATATGGATCCATGTCTGCAAAGAGAGAGAGATGAATCAGGTCAGATAATCAGATCAGATTCAGATGATGGCACGATCGCACAACCTACAGACAATAGGAAATTAGATTAGACTTTAATTAGTTCAATTCAGTATTTACTAATGGGCCAAGTTCAGTTAGTACACCCAATGAAGTGCAGAAAAGCAGGCCCAAGTTGGGATCCAGAATCAATCAAATGAACATCATAATCATTAATGTTATTTTGACTGAATTTCTGAGATACCTGGGCCTGTATAGTCATAGTACTCAGTTCAATGACCATATCTCGATGACGTTGCCCGTATGAGGAGAGGGGGGCGGGAGGAGGGGGGAAAAAGGGAAAAAAGGGGAAAAAAAAGGATAGGTACTAAGCAGCAGCTAAGCACTGATCTAGATTCTAGACTGAAAAAAGGCCCTAATTCAGCTATAACGGTTGTACAGCATGTACATGCTATTCAAGGAGAAGACGGTAGTACTTACCTATGACTAAAACTCCTACTTAGCTCCTACTAAGTAAATAGTAAATAGTAAATAGTAAATAGTACATACTAATTAGCGTCACCTGCTGAGCACTGGGGACTGAAATCTGTGCACAGATGGTAAGTGTTGAGCACTTACGATTTACTATTTACTTAGTACTTAGCACATAGCACTTAGCACTTACTACTCCAGCTAAGTGAGTGCTATGACTATAGCGATACTAAGTGCTAAGTGCTAAGTGCTAAGTGCTAAGTGCTAAGTGCTAAGTGAAAACTGGGAGTTTAGGTGCTACTAGTTTTACGATAACAGAATGCCAGGTTATTATCGCTGTACATAGACTGAAAGTCGCACCAGATACGGGGATAATGACCGGGCGTTCTATTCGGGTGAAGCAAAGTAGTTCACATTGAGTATGTAGCCCTGGAATATACTCCTTGGGCGAGAAAATCAAACTGGTCAATCTTTTAAAAAACAATTGACATACATATTACATATCGTCAGTGTTAGACAATGACGCTGCTTAGGCAGGGGGTGAGGGGTGGTATATCCTTCCCATGGGAAGTAATCAATGCGCCCCCCCCCCCCTCCTCCCTTCCCTCCCCTCGGCCCTTCCAGCCATAACAGGAAGGAGCGTTTTGTGATGTGAGTAAATGTTGTACTCTATCGAATTGCCTGTGGAAAAGGAATCCCGAGAATGGACGAGGAGCCAGAAGCGAAACGTTCTCGTTGAAAAAAAAAAAAAAAAAAAAAAAAAAAAAAAAAGACAGACAGAAAATACTAAATGGAATAGACAATCACAACAATCCCTCCACACATTTTCTCAAGGCATTACATGAGTTCGAACTTCGAACCATACTTGCAACCGCACCGTGCGCTGCACAGCGTGCGGCGCGGCAGCTGTTCGTGCGCCGTACGAGCGGCAGTTTCCCCCTTTTTTTTTTTTTTTTTTTTTTTGCTGTTTTTGTAGATGCAGAAGCGTGCATTGTGCAATACCGCGAAAGCATCAGCTCCATCGCGCTTTCGCTAATCACTGCTCGTTTTCTTTCTTTGAAAAAAAAAAGGAGTTCGGTTCCTTACAAGTCTGAAAAGTCTAATTGTGGAGGGGGGAGAAAAAGGATTTTGACTGAGTGAATTGAGTCCCCTTCCTTTCAGTATATATGACAGCATAGAGAGCATCTCAAAAAAAGGTTTCACCCCTTTTTAGGGAGGGACGGCTCTGGGACCTTACCGTATGCCCTTTATCAAGGTCGCTTCTCGCCTGATCTGCGATATACTGCAAGGGGACAACTTCACCTTCTCATAAGCCTTAATGGCCACCTTCGCATTCGTTCTCACACACACCGCCGAATATATCACACAGTTCCTGTCATCATCAACCGACAAAAGAAGATCGGCGCATGACGAACAGTTTCAAACAACAAAAATAAAATTTATTCACAAACAAGAATCCTCAGTTTGTAATGCATTGAGCTTGTGTTTGTGTGCATGTGTGTGTATGGACTTGGTGTGTGTGTGTGTGTGTGTGCTGTCTCTTATACACATCTAGATGTGTATAAGAGACAGGCTTTGGACAGGATACAAAGTGACTGGGTTCATTG